CAAGGTAGATGACAACATAAATACATATACAGTAGGAAGACAGCTTGGACATAGTCCTATTAAGATATGTAATACAAAATAGTGTACTCACTATCAAGACAGTGTGTCATGAATAAGTCACAGTGTACAAAGATTTATTTCTACAGCTGGATGGGGTCTGAAGTTGGAAAGTTCCCTGGTCTGGATGACAATCTTAAGGAAGGTGCTGAACAAATACTGAACTTCATCAATTCTTAAGCCCTTTTTTCACATTAAACATCTCAGAAATCATACTGCATATTGTATCAGATGTCTTCTTCCAATGATGGCTCCCCGAGCACCAGTTGTGATTCAGTTGTTTTTGCAGGTGTATGCATGAACTTGGGTCAGAGATCTTTCAGAACCTCTATTAAGTTATGGGTCCTGCAGGCTCTATACTTATTATGTTTAATTACCATTTAAAATGTCTTTAAGAAAATAACTGTTATTTAGCATAACTAAAGGTTATCAGTTGTGGGAATAGGTGTGAACTGAGAACAAATTTTAAATTTGTATTGGTGAGGGAAATATGGGTTATTAGAGGAATGATTACAATTCCATATTTTCTTGCAAATAATACAAATAATTTACAATTCCTTTAAAAATAGTCTCAAGTAGTGTTAAACTCAGTTAAGTTTGACCTCAATCTGTCTCCATACTTGATTAAATGATTGACCCAAAGTGGCTGTATACATTGTACCCCAGTTTAATGTGTTAAAAGGCTGTCACCTAACTTAGGGGAGTATACTCTTATAATCAAGCAGTTGAATCTCAGTCAGCTACAGGTTGCCAACTGATTAGGCTATGTACATGTACTGTAAATGCCTCATCACACATGCACCTAGAAGGCAAATGCCAACTGTAGCCAGTCATGTTGTTTTTAATGTCACTTCCATCTTTCTGTCTATAAATATAACCTGCATAGGTGATGGTGTGGGGCATTCTGGACCATAATTGGTTTAGAAATTTTTTCTTGCTCAAATAAACTTTGTTAAACTTAACTCACCCCAATTTCTAACAGTCAATCAAGCAAAAGTATAGCTTATTTCAGTCAGTCTAAGTTTGAAAAAAGTCACCAAATCCCTCAGAAAACAAGAGAAAAATTTATAAGGATGAGAGATCAGTTTTTGAGTCACAAGTACTCTTATGAAGACATCAAATATTGATTAGTAAAAAACGCTGTATTTCAGTATAAACTATTGAACTTCAAAAGATCTATGATTTATCAGCTACTTAAAAACTCAAAGTATGTCAAGATAATGCTGGTAAATCGTGATGTCTTTGGCAATTATCAGTATTTTACTGTGGATATAAACAAGTGGCATGCCACTCTGAAATTATGCATAGGTATGCTATTATATTTACTTTAAAATTTTAAAAGGGTATACAATAGAATTTTCTCCTGTCATGTTATGCATACAAAAATATCAGGGCGCACAATCTTTGAGTTGATAGTCTCTAAAGTTGCCATTAAGAGGAAACTGCAGGTTAGGTTTCTGTGAGCTTCTGGTCAAAACTTTTCATTAGTTAATCAATAGCTTGTTTTATGTACATTTCTCTTTAAAGACTTGATATATATCATTCATTCATTGACACTGAACTATAGCTAACAGCACTATAATTAAAAGCCTCAGTAAAGTTTATCTAAATACACTTCTTTTCTTTATGAGGTACATTAGTTTAGAACTTATGAACAGTAGGTGTCACTTGACCACTATGCTTGCAGGCCACTTTAAAATAGTGAAATTACCCATAAAAAGCACAAACATGGGAGAGAAGTAGTACTAAATACGTTGCAAAAGGGACATCTGTTTCCAGTACCAAAGCTGAAACAAGAAGGCAGAACACTGCCTTGTTCACCCTCAGCTGGGAACAGAAATATTTTTGCTACTCTTGGCCATGTCTGTTAATGGCTGCAAAAACTCTGCAAGTGTTGATGTAGGAGCTTCAAATAAATGCTAGCAAATAGGAAAACTGGAAATGCAAAATCCAGAAATAATTAGGATGGCCAGAACTTTGTTCTCCGGTAGAAAAAGTTATATGGCAAAGGCTGTGGATAGAGTTTAAAAATCAAGTCTAAGCCAGGCATGGTGACCCATGCCTGTAATCCCAGCACTTGGAAGGCTGAAGCAGGAAGATCTTTGCAAGTTCAAGACCAGCCTGGGCTACAAAGTGAGCTCAAGGCCAGCCTGAACTGCATAGCGAGATTCTGTCTCAAAAAGACAAAAAAAAAGTCAAGTCTAACGTTGCCAAATCTTGAGCCCTATCTCAGCCTTACTGAATCAAAATCCGCACTTCAGATTTCTTCAGGTATTTATGTGCACATTCAAGTCTGAGAAGCATTGCCCTTCATAGCATGGCAGGTATATCCCTGCTTGCAGGTGGAAGTTAAACTGTACAAAGACTGGACATCTGGTATATTTGTAAAGTGTGTTTAGTTCCAAAATTCTGGGGCATGCTAGGACAACCTCTCTAAGGTGAAAGACATATTATTGCTCAATAAATTATCAAGAATTAATAGCATAGCAAATATGCAGAAACATGATTTGTCAATAGTGTGGAACAATTCCAAAGAGAAATGCTTAGAATTAAGAGAATTAAGGCTACAGTCATGGAGATGGAGAAGCAGACATAGATGAAAGACATATTGTTCTATGGGATTATCCCTTTGATGAAAAGGAATTGTCAGTGATGACTCTATAAATCTCACCTCTAAGTAGGATGACTATTACTACACAGCACCCAGAAAAGAAAATTCAGGAAAAGAGTACATAGTGGGAAAAAGATAATTGTATTATGCTGAACTTGCCTTTCTTGGGCAACTTCCAACTGTCCCACTCATGTTCTTTTGGCTACTGTTCTACCTTAGTAGCATTTCCAATTTCTTGGCTCCTGCTTCTGTATCTGATAGATTGATGCATTCAATACTGTGACTTGGTAAATTTGGCAATGTCCACATCATGATAAGCATCTTTATCACTTGCATAATCACTTGAGTTGCAAAGTCAGGTTCTCAATCAGAAGTAGGGACAAGTGGCATTCCAGGGGCTAATTTTTTAGGGTGCTTTAAACAATTTACCTGTAGTACCATAGGTTTCCTTCCATTCACTTTTAATACTGCTTTTCCTATGGTGATTTAGAGGATCTTCAAGCCAGTATAAACATTTCATAAGTATTTAGCCATTTGGGTATACATCTGCACAATACCACACATCTTTCAGCAAGAAAAACCCTGAATATAAAGCATAAAGACTGTACTAACTGGGCACAGAAAGACTCTGGAATCTGCTCCAAGTATTGATCTGTTTGAGGTGAAGGCACCACATACCTGTTCAATTAAGAAAACTATCTGTACAATTCAGGACCTTTTTCAAATTTTGTTTGTTTGTTTCATTTTTAGGCAGTCTTGGTTATTATGCCCAAGGCCTAGAATGCCTCTGCCACTCATTAGGTGCTGAAAGGCAAAATGACATCCTGAGCTTATGCCATGAATTCATAGGGAATGGGTTCCAGCAGCTCTGGCTCCTTCCCTTCGGCACTCACAAAGGGGCAAGGGAGGTGGGCTTCAGTTAACCTGGTACCTTTCTCTTCAGCTTTCTTCTTTTTCTGATCACTTCTCTTGACACATTTTGACTATAGAGTGCTTATATATTTAGTTTTTTGGGAAGTCTCTTGGCTTTGTCTTATTTACAACAATGCCAACAGCATGCTGGTCATTACTGTAGACTCTTCCAGTTTTGCCACGGTAACATTTGTGTGACATTCTTTTTTGAATAGTGTTCATTCCCTTGATGTCTACGATATAATCCTTTTGTAGGTTCACATATGTGGCCAAGGAACAGCACCATGTTTTCTAAAAGGCTTAGAGAACATATACCAGGTTCCTCTCCTCTTTCCTGGGTTCATCTTTCTGGCAAATTACTGGAAGATGACGGTTCTGCCCAAAAGGCTCCAGAGTGCAATTTCAAATGGCTTGCTGTCAGAGGAGGGGCCCTGCTCCAGAACCATTCTACACTATGAATCTCCTATTAGGGCTTTCCTAAGACCCCACATAGTATTTTTATCTGCCATAGATAGCTCTCACACCATTGGATTTTGCCGAGACATAGGACCACACAGCAAGGCGAATATGTCTTAGCATGTACTGTCTTGCTGAAGGACCCTCTCAAACTGACAGCCTTTTGATAAGGTGTTGGAGCTGTCTTTCTAAAGAAGAGACATTTAAAATGCTGCTTACACTTCTTCAGCGGTTCCCTGGTGTTTTCAGGACCAATCACAGATGTCTCCTTGGGGTTGCAGCTGCTCACCTCCTTAGCATCACTTCTAGTCCTGTTCTTTATTCTTTTAGGATATGTGGCCACCGTGCATTTTCCCCTCTATGGAGCATCCTGATCTCTACCTGACTACCATCCATAGTCTCTGAAGGGTTTAGTCAGAAATCCACAATCTCCAGAAAGCTTTCTCGATACTCTCTTCCCCCTCAGCTGTGCTTCTGCTGTAGGTCCAGTGTACCTCATGGCACCACTACCACATACACACCACACTTACCATCGCGTCCACCTTTGCTACTCTATAGTGAACTTAGCATTGTGCCCCAGTGCAGCACACTGTAAGTAACCTACAGTTTTTGGCTAGCAGATTATATACACAAATATTGATATCCTATTCTGAGACAGTAGATAAGGCCAACGTATCACTTTCTCGCCCTTACAAAGGAGCAACAGGGCCATTACTCAAAGTGTCCTCCTCTGGATTATGCGCTTTCTGCTGGGGTTAGAGACCTGGTCTCTCCCTCACAGAATAGAACTCAGAGCGGCGCGCCCCCTCGCGTCAATGGGAAACACTGCAAGAATAGAAGGTCGCTGGCGACCACGCGGTCCCCGGCAAGCACGTGGCGCATGCGTAGAATGCAAGCGCTGGGGGTTGGCTAGGGAGAGTCCAAGCTCGAGGGGGAGCGCTCTGTGGATTCAGTCCGTTTTTCTGACGAAATAGAAACATGGCCTCTATCTCTTCTTCTTTTTAGACAGACCATTAATTTAAAATATTGGACTTGAGGTGTGGCTCTTCAGGAAGTGATAAAGAAGCGGGAAGGTTGCGGTGCGCTTCGCCCTTCGGCACTCCTCCCTCCGGGCGGTGGCTTGGGCCGTCCCAGATCGAGGCGCGCGGGGGCGGAAGCGGCGGCGGCTGTCAGAGCTGGAGAGGGGCCGGGCGCGGCGGACATGGAGGGTCAGCGCTGGCTGCCGCTGGAGGCCAACCCTGAGGTGAGCGCGGCTCGCATCCGAGCCTGGGGCCGCGGCAGGGGAGAGGGAGCCGGGACGCGCCGGTAGTCCGTGCCAGTATCTGCCTAAATGGTGCTTTCTGCTTCGTTTCAGGTTACCAACCAGGTGAGTGAGGTGTCTGTCGCCGCGGACCCCGGCGTCCTTTCTGTGCTCCCGGCCCGCTGGCGCGCAGGCCTTCGCCGCCGCTGCCCGGATCCTGGGACTGAGCCCGGGAAGCCCCTCGCGCCGCGCTCCGGGCGGGTCCGCCCCTCGGGCCGTCGCGCTGCCACCTGGCCGCTGGAGATGCTCGCCGCCGCCGCAGCCCCTCCGCGGGGGCGGGCGCGCGGCTCCCGGTTCGCGGGCCTCCGGGTCTGGGTTTGCGGGACGCCCACCGGGTCCACCTTTCTGTTCTTCTTCCCCGCCCGCTTTGCCCCCTGTTAGTGCCGGGTTCCATTATTTTCCTACCCCCGGACCTTCTGGGTGACTGATTTACCAACACTTATGACTCCAAGCTTTGTAAACTCGCCCACCCAGTCCAGGTAATTTCATCCACCGCCTGCCCTGTGAAATCATCTTCCAGTCATCTCTCGCGCCAGCAGGTCACCTCTGTCCCCACCACGCCCCCTTACATGGCCAGTCTCTCAAAACGGGGCATTTAGTTGTTTTTTATGCCGTGGCAAACTCAGTTTCGTAGCGTCCACCTCGATCTTTACCACCTGCAGCTCTTAAAGTCCGTTTTGAGTAGTGGAGGTTGGAATTGGAGAGGGAAGAGGGACCATCTTGTGGGCACTTGATTAAATGAAGATGTGCTATGAGGTGTATTTTCATTTCTCAGATATGTCTAGTCTTGTCTCATCCTGCTTCATTTTCAACAGGTCTTTTTGTATTGCCCTCCTACTTTGTCATGTGACAGACTTCCTGTAAATCTTCCTTCTCATCACTGAGGAGTTGGTTTTTGTTTTCAAAGTTTATAGCAAATTTCTTATGTAAAGAAATTAGATACACTTTACCTTAATGTAAGCAGCAACCCCTTTTGTCTTACGTTTATTATATGCTTTTGAAATGACTGTCACCTCCTTAGCTCTTTAGTAACCTAAAAATGTACAGCGCTTATTATTTTTATTGTACGTATGATTAATCTTATTTTCCCCCCCTTTGAAATTCGTTTTTTTCTCCTAGCACGACATTTTTGTCCCTTTATAAAGAGTAAAAAAAACTTACAGCTGAGAAAATCTATATTTGTATTTTCTTGTTTACTGCCATAGAAAAGAAACATATTTCTTTCAGATCTAGTCCAAAACTATTTTTTACACCTTTGTGAAAAATCAATTTACTGTATGTCTGGACTCTTCTGTTCTATTGATGTATGTGTCTGTTCTTTTATCAATACCATACTGTTTTGATTACTGTAGTTTTAGAATCAGTCTTCAAATCATTATTAAGTATAATATGAATCCAACTTTTTTCTTTTTCAGCGTTGTTTATGCTGTTCTAGTTACTTTGTCAATTAGTTTGTCAATTTGTACAAAAAGTTATGTTGTAATTTGGTGATGAATCTGCCATCAAATTATTTTGATGGCATTATAGATACATTTTGGAGAAGAGGACTGTATTAACAATATTGAAGTTTGTAATCCATAAAGGAGGTAGTTGTCATTACTTAGGTTGTCACTGATTTCTTTCATCAGTATTTTATAGTTTCAACATGTAGTTCATGGACATACTTTGTTAGATGTCTATTTTCAGAAAGATTTTTGGTGCCGTTGTTCGTGGTATTGTTTTACACTTTCAATTTTGAGTTGTTCATTGTTATATATAGAAAGTCTAATTGATTTTTTAAACTTTTTGGCTTTGTATCTTTGTCTCCCTCTGCCTTACTAGTTTAGTTTTTGGCTATAGTGCTCTGATCACCTTCTTATAGATGTTTTGGAATTTACTTTATAGACAGTCATATTCTCTGTGAGTAGATTGTTTTATTTCTTGCCTTGTTTTACTCGTTAGGACTTTAAATAGAAAGTTGAAGAAGATAGAGAGATTGACATCTTTGTTTTATTTCTGATCTTTATGGGGAAACGTTTACTATTTTACTATGAATTATAGGTATTTGGTGGATACTGTACTTTTTAATCAGGCTAAGAAAGTTTGCATTTTTTTCCTACTTTGTTGAGATTTTGATTATGAATCAGGGTTCAGTTTTCTCAAGTGACTTTTCTACATCTTTTGACATGATCATTTAAAGAAGGATGAATTAATATCAGTTCTACATAAACATGAAAGAAGGAAGGCCCGAATTCATTTTATATGGGCACCATTACCCTGCCACCAACACTAGACAAGCTGTCGTAAGAAACGCTACCAATGAATATGGGTGTAACAGTCTTTCAACAAAATATTTGCAAGTACAAAATGACAGTAAATATATAAAAGGATAACAGATCATGAACAAAAGCTGCTTATCCTGATATTGGAAAACTGAGTTAGTATTTAAAATCATATGAATCTACTAAAATAATTTTTAAAGGATATTTAATTGTTTTAATGATATTCAAGCTTATGTGCCTACTATTGTTCCTAGGTGATCTTGATGTACTACAAAGTACATTCACTCATTCACATTAATTAAATAACAATTGAGAGCACCTTTTATAATATTACTGTTTGAAAGAAACTGGTTGTGCTTTGATGATTAAAATAAATTTTTATTTTTTGCTTTTCAGTCCAGTGGGAAGACAAACAGATCATTAACAATTTTTATAAGTGCTATGAAAAAATTAGATGTGAGGATGAAAATCTAGTAGGTTGAACAGTAACAGTAAGTCTGTCTGAAGTAACATGAACAGAAAAGATGTTATTTGGCATATGATTGTGCATTGCATCTAGCAGGCTTTGGTATGCTTTAATTAAAAATTTTTATCTTTATTAAAGAAGTGGTGTGCTTTTCATGGGAGAATAGGATTATATATACCTAAGAAGTGGTTAGTTTTAACCAAAATTTTTGTTTTTGTTTCTTTATTCTCTGTGTTCTATGTCTAACAGAGAATAGAGAATAAATAGACATTTAATTAACTGACTTAGGAGTTGGGAAATTACTAAATTTCAACATCCATCCCCTTCTATACTTCCTTTTTTAACTTAATGGGATCATAAGACCTACTTGATTTTACTCTGTAACTATCTGATATAGTTGCATGGATTATTATATTTACTGTTAGTTTGAGCATTATTTTTGCTGTAATTGTGCCTGGTATTATATAAGAATAACCATCATGTGTTTACTGTATGAAAATTAGTATTGTTAAATACTACCTTGTAACAGTATTACCTCTGTCACAGTAGATGTTGTAAGTGATGACTTGTCTTATTGGTTGTGTGCTGTTAATCTCTTTAAAAGTTTATCATGCTACAGATTGAATTTATTTAGAAAAGAATTAGTAAAGTAAGAAAAACTATTAAACAGTTTAAATTCACCTTTTTAAAATAAGTGCAATTAAAAGGATAAAAAGTAGTTTGCAGCTGATAGGAAGTTACAGGGTTTTTTTTACAAATGCAATTAAAAGGGTAAAGGTAGCTTGCAGCTGATAGAAAATTACAGGTAATTAAATATCAAGAATTATAATTCGTTTTAGGTGTACAATTTATTATATGGCCAGTTACATATCCATGACCATGCTAGATTTTCCATGTGATGTTTTCTTTATTTGTTTATAGCACAGCAACATTATATATATTAAATATTACATTTTAGAACCAACGGTTTTTAATATGGAAGCCTCCTAGAATTATTCTTTATGGTGATTTTATTGTGGAGGTACATTTTTTAGCATAATATCCAAAGGAAAATAAATGTACTTTAGCATAACTATCCTATTTCGTGTAGCTACTTAGAATTAGAAAAAGAATGAGAGGTTATCTGCTGGATTGTCAACATAGAGTATATCTCTAATTAGTGGATAGCATCTTGGGGAAAAAAACATGGTACCCTGTACTGTAGCTACTGCTTGGTTTCTGTTTGTTGTTTTGTAAACTTTCCACAAAGAATTGTCCATAGCCAAATGTTTCTACCACCATATGTGATTCTCTTCTGTATTTGCTCCTATTCAGCTTGCTCCCTGCCACCATTTCATAGTAACTACTTTTATCAGGTTTACTACTGATCACCACTTTTCTATCATATACAGTATTTTTATCTCTCAGTAGTATTTGGTGGTGTAACCCAGTTTTTCCTTTTTAAAACATCAATCCCCCCTGCTTTTGGCTTCTCTGATAGTTCTGATTTTCCCAGTTCCTTGATTGCTTCCCAGATGTTCTTTATTAGGTCATTTTGTTTCTACCCTGTAAGGAGTCAGGGTTTCATCCTATACTACTGATCTTTTTTTTCTTTTTTTATACTTGTGGCACTGGGGATCAAACTCACTATTAATCTTTTCTATGTGCAGTCATTTCCTATCAGTGTTTTCTATTATATAGCTTTAATAACATCACCATAACAAGGATGACCCTGTTTTTCTCTATCGCCTGGCTTCACCATATTGGAAACCTGTGTACTTTTACTACTTCTTTGCTGTCTCCATTGGAATGCCTTATGGATCCCTCAAACTTAAAATGGACACAGATCTGGATTTTTCTTCCACCTTCCTCTAAATCTTTTTTTTTTTTTTTTTTTTTTTTGTACTACTCGGCTCAAACCAAGGGCTTTTGCATTGAGCTACATCTCCATCCTACCCTACCCACATCCCCTTTAATTGAGACAGAGTCTTCCTCAAGCTGCCTAGGCTTGCACTTGCAAATCCTGTGATTTGGCTTCCCAAAGTGTTGAGGTTACAGGTATGCACCACTATGCACAGATAAACCCATTTCTTCTCCAGTCTTCCCAAGACATTGCCACCTATCCACTTCTTATGTCAATATTAGTAATCTTCTGACTGTGCTATTTTGAAGAGGACATTGTATACAGATTCGATTTCTTGGGTTAAAATATATGTTCCACCTTATTCTAGTTCTGAGACCATGAGCAGTTACCGAATCTCTTTGTACCTATCTGAATTTCTTAATTTCTAATAATCCTAATTTTATAAGATTGTTGTAAGGGTTAAATAAATTCCTACATGAAAAATATGAACAACAGT